GAGGTGCACAAGAAGCTGGGAGGGGGCACAGCCAGGACAGCTGACCCAAACTGGCCAAAGGGACATTCCATACCATGTGACGTCATGTTCAGTTCATAAACTGGGGGAAAGCTGGCCGGGGGGGCCACTGCTCGGGGACTGGCTGGGCATCGGTCGGCAGGTGGTGAGCAATTGCATTGTGCATCACTTGCTTTGTATATTCTATTATTGTTATTATTACTATTTTATTCTATTTCAGTTATTAAACTGTTCTTATCTCATCTCAACCCACGAGTTTTCTTACTTTTGCTCTTCCAATTCTCTCCCCCATCCCACTGGGGGTGGGGGGAGAGTGAGCGAGCAGCTGTGTGGTGCTCAGTTGCCGGCTGAGGTTAAACCACAACAAACAGTCGGACAGTTTCTGCTCCATATGCAAACTTGTTAGTCACTACCCACCGAGATCAATGTGACCCTTTTACATGAACACCCTTCTGCATCGTGACCCTTCTGTGGCAAGCAGTTCCAAATCTTAACTGCTACTATTAAAAAAAAAAATGAAATTAAAAAATAATTTGATAGGCAACTACTAGTTTTATTTGATGCTCTCCTCACGCCCCTTCCCCTCCCTTATCTTCAGGGATGTCTTGTCCATGCTATGTTTGCAGAGACTTCAATCAGATCATCCCTCAAACTGCCCCCTTTGCAGACTAAAAAGTCCTAGCTATTTCGTCTCTTCCTTGCATAGAAGCCCTCCATCTCCTCTGTGCATCCTTTTTTTGTTCTTTAATCATTTCTAGTTCTGCAATAACCTTTTGAGATAAAAGACATAACTACACAGTATTGAGTGTATGAATTTCACAGTGTATCACAATAACATTTTCTTCTTTGTTCTATATTCTTTTCCTAGTCATTTGTATTACCTGACTTCAAAACTCTGCAAATGTCTTTATGGTTAAAAAAAGAACTGGCAAAAATCAAGCTTACTTGAAAAGAACATTAAGGCTGTATTAGTAGCACATTACAGCTAACTATTCTGTGTGAACAGTGATTTTCGATAGATCACCATAAGCCACCTTGTAACTTCTGAACGGACTTCAATGGCAGATTAAACAAACACCCATCTGCCACTGTTGATATGGCCCTAAATTATTAAATATACAATTTTGAAAAAGTAGTACTTCTTACTATCATAACCTAGAATTGAAGTAAGTCGATTTAGTTCTGCAGTTCTGAAATTCTCATCTGTATCTAAAAATGTTCTCTAGTGGGACTTGGAAGACTCAAAGCTTACACATTAGGTCCACTAGGGCACTACCT